TTTTACAAGATGCTCAAGTCTCAAATGAATTTGCCGCTTAAACTACGGGATGATTGTGAAGATAAAGAGCACTAGTACAAAGAGGAACGAAGAGGTGCTCACGGAGAGTAATGACGATGCCGCGATCACGGTGCCTGTGGCTGCAAAAATGCCGGTTTCCCACTGATCACTACACGACGAGGTATATGACAATGTAGATGCTTCTTGCTTGCACTTGGTGCGACACTACGTTGTGGCCAAATTATAGAGTTTGCTAAGTGAATGGCGCACCTGCACTTGATTCTAATACAACGGCGTACACTACTCTAAGCGCCTTCAGAGTGATGTGGATACACAGAGCAGCGGTTAATGGATCGGGGGAGTTAGGATGACTGATTGGGCACTTCAAACACTGATTCCGAACTCTTGAAACTTTGGCCGTGAGAAACACCGGAGTGCGCGGTTTTCCAAGACAGATCACAGATTCACTAGTGTTGTGGAAAAACAGTTTATCAAGAGAGATAGAGGTGTGTGGTGCACACCATACAGGTCAACGAATTTAGGGTGCACCAGGCGAACGAAAAAAGGAGAATAAACGGAAACTTCGGGCAAGGGAAAGCAGTAGTGAAATGGAGAATCCTGAAGACAGAGATGGCACTTGGACTTGAAGTAGCGCGTATTTGATGAAATCACAACAAGTGGAACGAAAGGCATGGTAATAAACACACAAATCAGTTTATACGAATGCGTAAAGAAAGAAAAACCAATAACTGGTTCGAAACGATTCCCACTTAACCGATGAATGAACGACGGTATCCACAACATGTACCATGGACTGCTGGACACCATTTACGATAAGAACATATAGAATGTAGCGATAGGCTGAAGAATCCTATCATCAACACGAAGAGGTGGACACCATTAATTTGTTTTGGTACTTTGATGTTACACAACCTGATAGAAAACGTGAATTTCGCAAGACAAGCGTTCAGGATCAAGGTGCCCACAAAGCAAGGTCACCAACAGCTGGCCACTGGCCGAATATAAGGCGGCTTTTACTGCCCCGCTTTGTAGTCAATACGACACCATAGCACTATACAAACACTGAACAGGTAACCCGGTTGGCAGACGACAGTAATACGCAAGTGGTGCCTACTGCGATGCATGTTTCGTAAATTGGGTAGGTGAGTACAACAAGCGTTGCCTGCAAGGACTCTGGTCTAGCGTTAAAGGCCTCGGCCGGTAGCGCCAATGTTCAACTCACAGTCTTATTGTCTCCAACAGGCTAGTGTAAATAAGTCGAAGCCGGTCGGGGGTGATGCGTTGCGAGTAGAAAACAGCACTTAGTCGCTTCACGTACGGTCCCTCCAGTCACTGGACTAACTGCTAATCACTTCAAAGTCAATTGCATGTCTGAGATCGCGTTCCACACTACATGTACACAATCAGCTATGAGTGGGCTAGTTAGCTGCAGAAAATCTCACAATGATCCAAAACGCCGAGAACAAAAATGAAGCGGACCAGAAACGAGGAAACTGCAGGGTCAGCTCACAAATTAGGATCAAACGGAGCTCCAATGCAAAGCGATCACGATTAGAAGTACCATTTTAGGATGAAGCGACATAAGAACAACACAACCAAACTGCCACTGAAAACGCTTTGCCCAGTGAGTCAGACAGTATAAACCAGTGCTTTCACCGATCGTTCCATTGACGGAGGAGTTGAGGAAACAATGAGGCGTAGCAATTGGAAGAGACTGCAGAAGTCACCCGCAACTTATTTGTCCTTTGAGTGGGTCATCGTGAAGCCCTCGTTGTGCGAATGGATTGCGACGCGCAGTCTCAATCTGGACCGCGAGTCCCACTGAGGTGAGCCTTGGCCAATTTGATCACTGGAACCATACTTGATGAAGCATATGGATATATTGATATAGAATAGATATTGGGTGTTGCTCGTCCTGAAATGGTGACCGAAGGAGTACAGGTTTCATTTAATACTCCAATGGTCCTGGGTTCGATGCCTGGTACCACTACCTCATGAGATCAAACTAGTTCGAAACCGGTCGTGGAGTGCAGTGTTTTCGGGTGGACAATACCTGGAATCTATTGGTTACTTTGCGCTCTGTTTCCTAAACCACCTGAGTTCGCGAGCTTTTTTTAGCTTACAGAAATCGTCTGAGCCGCATTGGACAGCTCATTCGATCGCCTTGTACGAAGTGTCTCTGGAAATCGAATAGGCCCACCGATCTGTCCGCTAACCAGTGCGCTGATTGGTCTTGACGCATGAAGAGGTTCTCGGACAGTTCAGTGGTAGATACTGCATTCCGATGAACCTCAATGTCTCCAGAGAAATTAGATGACAGATGGGTGTGTGGAGCAGTCAAATGGGCTTGTCTAACTGCAGGTTGATGCAACTTCATGGCCACCACCCTAAGGAATAGCTGGCGGCGATTCCCGATAAAGTTCAAGGAAAAGTAGTAGTATACTAACTCGTTAACATGATCAACCCGAATGAAGTAAAATAATCGGAAGTAGAAGATGTGGCCAAACTAATAATTAAGGGTCAGCTAACATAGGACATCGGTGATCGTTGCATCTAAAGGTCGTGCTAATGACAACCGATGGCCAGCAGTTAGTCAAAACAAGCGTTCGCCACTGTTGGTGTCCAGGAAGAGGCACAAGTACCTCACTTGGCTGAGCTCGGCAGGCATCAGCAGCACGCCCCTACGCAGTACCGACGCGTCGCTGCCGCGCAACCACTACTAGTCGCACGTGGGCTATGGATATTGCGAGGGCTGCCCGATCCCTACGCAGGATCGAACCCGCGCCGTCGGATTACAAGGTTGGCTTGTAATCTTCAAGACTACGGGCCGGCAGTTGAGCTGTTAGAGTCCACGCAACCAGCCCACGTATCCATACCTCAATAAAACTATATGTGAGTTGGTAGCGCTGCTTAAAAGCGCTTCAAGCTCGTGGTGTACAGCAACATTGGGAGTGTAAGGATTGCGTCCGGCTGAGATACAGGTGGCGTTCACGAGTAAAGCCTAATGCTATTCCGAACTGCTAGCCCCAGCTGATGAGCCGAACACGGAAGACTATTCACATTGATCCAATCATCGGACGATGATCCAGCTCGAGTGTTGAGAACAATACCGACTCCGGCATCGGTTAGCGCGTGCAGCCAACGGCTGGTCCCAGATAAATTGATGATCATGTGAGTAGTGAATTCTAGTATCGGTAAAGTAACACATGACAGCCTAAAGTGTACAGCAGGGGTGCGTGCAGACTGTCGGTTGTTTTAAGGCCTGAACATTTCAAGCCGCAAGAGAAATAGGGCAGCATGACCTGAGACTGGTTTGCCGAACAATCTCCTCGTGGTGACATCTGGGTTCTTCGGTTTCTCCCGATCCAGCAAGCAGTTCAGCAGCAGCGTTCCAGGACGTGGTGGGTTTTCGTTTGGCAAGCGTTTTCCCTATAAAAGCCACATATGACGGTTTAACACTGCGAGGTGGCGGATGTGACTCGTCACTAAAGAAAGTCACTTTGGTGGAACAAAGTATTGAAGTAACATGATGCTGAAATCGTCGAGAGTATTGGCCCCTGTGTGGCTTATGAACTGAGCAATCAGTCACCGACTGCCAATGGGCGCGATTCCGTGAACTCGCTCCACTGCCTTGAGGGTAGGCTATTCAGCCAAAGGTTCAGGGTGGTGTTCCCTAAGTCAACACCCTACCTCGGCATGGGCAACCGAGTAGTATCGCGCCCTCTGACAAAACCATGTATTTCTGTGTTGAGCTCGGTTTCCTTTGCAAGGCAACTGTACCTTCCTTTAATTTCCATAGCTTTTATGGCTCTGTGTCTGAGGAGATTACAATAAAACGAGGTTCTGGCGATAACGACAAAGTGTAGTTTAAAAAATCGGTAGGACTGCAACCACCGTCACCTGTGCTGTATGGAAGGTCTACGCAGTATACAAGTATCCGGCACTGGTGCTTCGCTTTAATGGAATGGCATTAACAATGGAAGTGGGGGAGTTGTGAGAGAACAGGACGGGAAAAGAAAGAAGAGGGCATCACTTGAAGCATGTCCTTGCTTATCTACTATAATGTCTGCAGAAGATAACTCTAGTGAAATCGAGCGATGACCAATACGGGATAAGGTTGAAGTAGGAAGAGAAGACCATTATTGAATATGGACTTGTATGCTGCAAGAATCTATAGTCTGGGCAGCATTGTGGTCGAAGGGCTTGACCAAAAGCATCATGATTATGTCGATGTTTCAGGAATCAGTGCAAACCCAGTTACAGCGCATAACCGAGATGACCAAAGCACTAAGTCCGTCTGACCTTCAATCACTGACAGATCTGGTAGTAGCCGTTCTCAAGGTAAGACTCAATGTAAAGGAGAGTTACGAAAGCCGCCGCATCCGGCTGAGGTCCATTCCCATTGAGTCGGTTAAGCATGAACATGACGACACAGCCACCGATAATGGGTGTCGCTTACTCGTCTCTAAGTGGTGTCAACTGAAAATGCTGAAGTTGGGTAGGACATGAAAGCAAATAATGAAACGAAAGCATGGACGCTCACTGAGGCATAGTTCAATTAATCAACCTAAGCTTGAGGGACGCAATCAGGCGAGGTGGATGAACACAAATACAGACACCGCCTCCCAAGTAAATGGACACTGATAAACTAGGATTTGGTTAGACCACTTAAGGTTAAGCACTCGTCGAGTGGAATCGCGCAAGATAGAAGTTTGCGTGGAGTCTAGAAAAAAAAACAGGTCAAGAATCCTTTCAAAAGTGTAGTAGTGCAGTGTAATGCATGCAAAAGCAGACGCTTCGCAAGTAAAAAGACAGAAATCTCATTCAGTAAACATGTATATCTATCATTGCGTGCATTTATTGTTTAACCTAGGCATGATAGTTACGAAGGCAATCGCAAAAAGATAGCCGAAAAAACCGGGTGGTAGTAAATGGGAAAGGTACTAGAAAATAAGTATAAAAAGTCATCTAGTTGGGAGTTAGTGACGGGGTGGGACAAAGGAACTGGAATCGGATGGGTTCAACAGGTAACCGCAAATCAGTGACTGGATGAAGTAATCACAAGTGACCAATTGGCAAGGCAAGGCATCCAACTGGGACATCGCATCAGCGGGGAGCTAAATGGGGTAGGAAAGGAAAATGGTATGGAATGAAGTTAAACTAAATGGTAAATACGGCACTTTGTTGTCGCGAACTCTTAGAGTAGAATAACTCACAGTAAAGGAAGAGAAAGTCGAGTAAACAGCAAGCTGGAGTCTAATGCACAAGATGTGGGTCTCCATGCACTGGCACAGACCGGTTTAAGTATAGCCAGACTGAGCAAGTGCGCTCAGCTCAGGTCAACACTAGTCTGTCGATCTATGCCTCTACTGCCTGTTTCAAAGTGACCCTTAGGTATTAGTCGGTTCTGACTTTCTGGTCTCAGCTTGTTCTGACCTTTGCAGAAGAAGCTTATCTTGACCTCTAATCGCAAGGTTGGATGATCTGCACTCCATAGCCTACCACCAAAAAGCGATGGAGCACCACGAAAACAGGTGTGTGTTGTGTGTGTGTGTGTGAATTGTTGAAATACATTGGCTTACATATCCAAGCTGCCATTATCGGAGCCGGGTTTGCGAATGTAAACAATGACCGATCGGTGTTTGGAAAAATGCACCGCGCTCGACCACAGATACCTTAATAAAAATTAGACCGTTAAGGCATGCCTATCAATCAGGATCGTACAGAGACGAGTTAAATGGGAAAACACACAGGAAATGACAAGCGAAAAGCATGAGGAAACTGATCGAACGCGTGAGTTGGAATGGCGCGCCTCCTTGATGTGGGTCAGAGCTTGAGGAAAAAACATGCCGCAGGTCCAGTAAGACAACAGGAAGCAGCGGTTCTGTTGAAAACGGGTTTCTCCTCTCAAATTAACAAACCTCATCTGTTTTGAGCGCTTTATATAGTTTACCAGATTGCTCTTCCATTACCATATCGTTGATTTTCATCGTCATGGTAATCGCTGCATTTAGATGAGATACTGGTTGGTCAAATGTACCTTTATCCATCGGCAAAACGTCAATCTGTGCGTGGCAGCGGACACTACGTGAGGCCACAAAAGCGATGATCACCACCGTGTATATCTCCAGGCATTAGGCCTGTGCAACGACCAAAAGGAGGCTGTGCACGAAAAAACTAATCATCCATACTACTCGGAAAGTTGGATCGGCGTTCACTTTCATTGACCCGAGTATGTTTCACGACGGTTGCTGTTCGGATCAGAGCAGCACCGCTCGGTTTGGAACAAGTATGCACATTGTACATGCAAGCATTCTCAGTAATGGTCGACTGGTTGACTTATCAACAAACGCGTGGACGGTACTTTATGAGCTGTCTAGCTCCCGGTTTTGTAGCCGATCCATCTACCAGTCTCCGTCCCATCACATTTATTAACAACGAAAACAATGGGAAAACACTAGTTGGAACAGGAAATTCCCAGTATAATTCCAAACAGAAAAATCAGAAGACGTAAACTGTGCGATGACTCAGTCAGTACATGCAGACTCGTCCGTCGCAAATCATGCAAAAATCATGGATATACAAAACGCGGTCGTAAGAGATCAATAGGTGATCAAACGTCGGTCAATCGTCGTGTCACACGCTACCACGGTAGGCAAAAACGCATAGTCAGCTGTTTCTGCGCACAAAGCAGTGGCCACTCGCGATCGACACTATTGCAAAGAGAACACGTGCACCGTGTATCATCATACACATGCGACTCAGTCATACCTCACTTATGTCGATTAGCACAAGCGTACTCAATGGTTCTGCAGGTTGGTTTGCATGGTGCTTTGGAATTCGCTTAGCCAATGCCTTAGGCGCCTCACTGATGGAGAAAACCGGAACAGCAGCAACGCATCCATCAGACGGAACTTCATCTGCTGACAAAGCAGCACCGCTAGCAAGCTGAAGAATATTTGACCAAGCGGGGCCGAAAACGTCCATATCATCGGTGACGATTGCGACCAATTCACAACGGGTTTGATAGACAAGCCAATCAGCTCGAAGATCGAACAAGGAGGGTGAAGGCAGCGAACGATAAGCCGGCGAACGATAACGAACGGGGACGGATAGCCTGAAAGTGAGTGATAGTCATGAAAAACCAAGATATTGTAAACGTCGCAAAACTGTGGAGTGAACGCTGTAGAATAAAAAGGTACTACTTACATTTGATAAGGAAATTGGGTAAAAAATGTGGCATTTGGCTAGGCGGAAAGGGATATCCGATTAAAACGATGAGAGGGGGATGACAATCTTACAGTGACCAGCAGAGTTCATCACTTAACAACTACCATAAGAAAGCAGGAGAGTATAAACTGCCTGAGCAGTGTAACAGATATTTCACTTATCTTGCACTGTGAACACCCCTATTAAGTTAATAAACTCCTGACTTGATACATTCAGCTGGATAGGTATGAGAAAGGTCCCTCAGCCACGCACACCTCTGAGAGCCAATTCCAATGTTGTGCAACTGTAACCCGGACATACTCAGTTTCACAAAGGTGCCAACCTCTTGCTCTATGCCCTTTGCACGGTTTGTGAAGTTGTGTATTCAAGGAGTCATCACTGTTTCCCGATATTGTCAACACCTGTGTATTTGACATCACACGGACCCTCAACTCACTCCGTTCTGCCGTCCCAACGACTCTGCTCCGTCCCATCTCGTGGACAGTTGTGGTTGTTTGTTACAGCGAGTACAGTCAAGAATATTAAAAGTGTGGATATCATTGACGCATGCTTTTCATTTGTTACTCCATTTTGTAAAAAAGACCAGCTCCAGTAGTGGTTTTGTTGAATTCTCTCCAGTGGCATGCGTGTCTGCGCTTGCAAGCGGGTCTGGAACACGAGAGAAGGGCGACCAACTCTAGAGAGGGGGCAAAAACAACAAACAGGGAGACCATTGGGGCCCTTAGTAGTTTGTGTCGTCTTAGATTGCAGCTAGGATCGTTTGTCACGGAGATCATTCGATGTTAGACAAACGCCGCGCCTGTGTGCGTTACCAATCCACTAGGCAAAATCTCTGACCCAGTAATGACAAGCTGGTAGTATCATGATCGAAAACAGGTGAGTGGCGCTACAGGAATCTTCGTTCGTGAGAAAAAAGTGGTGAAGTTGAGCAGCAGCAACAAAGCGGCGTCCAACACTTTATAAGTATATAGAGGCCATCGTTTAATTTACAAAACACAAAAGCATCGAACGCTAACGGACTGTTAAAACACACAGGTAATGACATGGTACTGGTTGCTTATGAGATACTGTCTGAACCCGATAACTATCGTTTCGAAGTGGTTGCGTCAGCTAAAGCAACGTGAAAGCTTCGAACCAAAATGAGACAATTGAGAGTTACACAGCAAAACCATATTGTCTGTATAACTCCGTCACCTGGTCAACTTGGTCAAGCCGACATTAGTTTCGGAAAGGGTGGTGAAGATCGAACTTACACTCTCGACGACCAAACGCTACATCCCAAATCTTTCGTGAAGGACTTAGGAGTACTCTCGCGCTGCGATCTGAAGTACGTGGACAATACGAATAGGTAATATCGTAACGGACTGCGCGTGTTTGAAGTGCTTAAGCGCATCTTTTGCAGTTTGTCTGTAGATGTCACCACTAACCTCCCCATGTCCATCACAAGATCAATGCAAGAGTACGGCCCGCCCACCTACTATCCAATCATCCGAGGCGGGGGAACAGCACATTGGAAGGGTCCAACAAGTCACAAGCAGGCTTATTCCGAGTTCAGACGGATTACCCCACGAATACTGGTGTTGGAAAATAGGACTCCTCACATTGTTCTATAGGCGGTTGAGAATCGATCTCATCCTGACCTACCGTATCACGGTGACTTCCCTATATAGAGACCGGTGTTTCCCCTTGCGAACGCAATGCATCAAACGCGGACACCGATAAAAGCTTGTGGTGCCGGAAATGAATCGAGTCCACAGAGCCTTGTGCTTCAAAAGGAGAGGGGTAAATGTTTGGGACAGTCAAATCAAGTGTAGTTAACAATGCGCTTTTTGTGCCCAAGAAAAGTGAATATGCAGTTACAACACACACGCCAAAAGCACAAAGAAAAATTACAACAAATGAATATGGTGAGCCACCAATTTGAACATGTGGCCGTGGTGTTGTCATCGATTCAGACTAGCAATAAGGTCTTGTTTGACTACATAAATAAATAAATTTGTATATTTACCGACGGACGGTACATGGCCCCATAAGTGGGAGCGAGCATTTGTATAGTGAATACGTTTCATAACATTAAAGAAACGTTTATTGATAGCATTTCGGATCATGATTATTTTTCCTTGAGTCCTAGACCCGCGCAACTCATATGTAAAATTTACGGATGTTTGTATCGTCAGTAGATAATAAAGGAAGGGACTGCTAGGCTGCAAAGACACAGGATTTGGTATGGTATGTAGTGACATGTAGTGGGTAAGCCAGCTGTAAGCGATTATTTTCTCGTATGTTTTTTATACCAACTTCTGTCAATGTTTCTAGTGTTTGCTGTGAGTCAAATATCTTCAAAGCATTTGGTATAGTGGGGAAAGTCTGAAGGAGATTTCGAGACGTGACATGACTTGTACACATGTGTATCTGTAGGGGTAGTTTGTTCCACAGATAAGTGTATCTCACTAAGAAGAAATTCGACCGAATTTTATGACTTGAAAGGTTTGTATGTATCAAGTAGCCGACATTACGTGTGGGGTAAACTGCAGTCTTCCGTAGTTCAAGTGCGGTGTTGTCTGCGTAAATTCGGTTTATAATATTGTAGAAGAGAACGAGGTTGTTCTTTAAGCGTCTCAGCCAAAGTGAATCCAGATGGAGTTTTCGACAGCGATTATAATAAGTCAGGTTTGAGTAGCACCCCATGACCAGCTTGGTAAATGATCGTTGGACATTTTCCAGAGCCGTTCTGTCTTTCTTTCTCAATTGGCTGTGAACGATAGTACAATATTCCAGAGTCGGTCGTACTACTGTCTTGAATGACTCAAATCGTGCTTCTGGTAGGGAGAAAGTTCTGGTGATATATACGCATAACTGCCTTGCTTTCGCAACCTGATAAAGAACATGTTAGGAGAAATTGAAAGAGTTGGAGTATCTAATTCCTAAGTCCCGAACTGAATCAGACGTTGGGATCAAGTTTTCTTCAGAAAACGTGACAATTGAGGAACAAGTGGCATATCGTAAGCTCGTGTGCGGGCATAAATGGCTTTGTACGTTTGTCTGGTCGAAGAAGTCGAAATATATTCCGACAATGCACGGTGGAGAGAGTGACTGGCATCAGTGAGTATCTTGGAAGCCAGTTTTTCCCAGGAGCGAACATGGTTGAATACAATGATGTCAGTAAACACTGATGTTGAAAATCCGATGCATCGGGCAAGATGCCTCAGTGAACTGTTGATGATTTGGAAGCGCCCGTTTAAGAGTCCAGAAAATATCACAGGGCAGCAATACGTACAATGCGATATTACGCAAGCGGTGACAAACCGTAAGATTAAATAACGAGGCAGGGATGAAGACCTAAGTTTGGAGACGTAGAACGTTAGTCTCCTGACTTTAGTGAATGTTTCATTCACGTAATGGGACCGGGTGAGATCCCGACTTAGTGTAACTAGTAGATACTCACTAATATGCCGTTCATCCTGACACTGTCAATACCAAGATGCGGGGTGTGCGTGTGAAGTTGTTGATAAGAATTTTCCTTGGACAACGAGAAAAGCACATGTTTACACTTTGATGCGTTGAGTGAAAGACAGTGAGATTTGGACCAGGAGGTGAGGTTCTCCAAGTCTGTCGGAACAGGTAGTGGAATAATGAACAATGAGTTATCACGGGTAAAAAAGCGGGTACTTGACAAGTCCCGTAGGATGGTTGGAGACCGAAGCTGTGCAGCAATTCGGCACTTTGCTAGATTTACTTTTCACCACAATTCGATTAAGGGAACGACTGTTCACTGACAATGGCACCTCACATTTGTGAGCCCAGTGATAGTGTAAGTCAGATATTTTTCAAACGGTACATAATAACCTGAGGAACGATTAGAATATCAACATTTGACAGATACTTTTATAGCATTTATGATCATTTTCAGATGGAGTGGTAAATAACTGCATTTCTGCGTACTCGCACAATACAGTATTCAACCATCACATCAGTTTGCACGGCTTTGTTCCAATAGAATGTATATAGAATGTACATACATGATGCGCACTAAAGACACGATGGTTGAAAAACTGTGCATTCTAAACCTCCTGTAACTAAAATCACATCAGAACTGACAACAGTACGAGAAAGAATGATAAGTCCGTGGTAAAATATATCGGGTATTGACAGGTCTACAAACTGTTGGGACATAGACACTAGCTGCAATCAAGCAACGTCTAGCTATGCTTCATGCGATAACCTTAGTTAATGCTATCAGACAGGTTACTTATGTACGGCCGAACACGAGAATGCAACAAGCCAATGATGATTTAGCTCTAAAGTTGAAGGTAGTGACCCTTCAAGTCTGACCTGTATCAGCCACAGCTGCATGTAACCAGTTCGAAAGGACAACCAAGATGTAGTCAGTTTGATAAGTACATCAGAGTGAATGACCTTAATTTCAAACACGCAGTGCACTCCAACACTAAGAATGCCCGATGTGCGTGAAACTACAAATTGTCTTCCTTAAGATGGAGAAGGTCTGATAAGGAGCAGTTCTCGAAAGGCCCGGGAACACCAACCAGTATAGCTCATGGGGTCGAAGAGATGAGCAAATCGGCAATATATATATATATATATTGCACACTTGACCAATAGTACAATTGCTAGAATGCCACAAATAGGTAGAGAGCCAAATAAAACCATGAAAATTACTAGAAGAATAAAGGTTTAATCAACGCATCATCATCATGGCATATTCGCTGAAGGTGAGCAACACACTTCTGCTATTGTGCCACAATATAAGAAAAAACAGAGCATTTTTTGTAATTTTGCACATGTAATATTTTTATTTTTGTCATTTTCAATCGTTAAGCACTAGGCATCTAAAGCTAAACAATTATGTACGCAGATCCTCCACCGGTT